AAGCTCCTTCTCTTCCAGTTGCTCTTTCCTGTTCTCCTGACTCCTTTCTGCTCCCGGTTCTTCCATCCGTTCTTCCACTATCCATAGGTTTCAGCACCAACAGTCTTGTTGGTGATTATCTTCTGGTCTCAGGAACAGTGGAGGCCCACTTAGCTCGATTTGTGGATCTGTGGATTCCTTTTGCGGCTGACCATTGGGGGCTAAAGGTTCTCTATCCATTGGCTTTACTCTTTGTTTTCTTTTCCTATCTTTTTGTCTCCTGCTTCTATTTCTTTCCTTAAGAAGGTGATCGGGATCTAAATAGGAATAAAGATGAGGATGGAAAGAAGAGACGTAAGGGTGAATGCACTATCACTCTATGCACCACAGAAATTTACAGGAGAAGAGCAGAATCTGGATAGAGAAGGAAATAGGAATAATAGAATAGAATGCAAAAAGAATCTTTGGAGTACACATCAGAATGGTGATGACCACAGGTGAGGAGAAAATAAGTTTTAAGGGACAGAAGTATAAAGAACGGGAAGTCAAAGGTTCAAAGAAGGTAGGGTAAGAGCAGGGAGAACAACATTAAGGACCCAGTCAGGTAGGGTAGAAGAATGGGGAAGGCTGAGGAGGAAATAAACTTGATATAATGGGAAAACCAGATAGTAGTTGAGAGAGACATCCGGCAACCAGCAATAGTTGAAATAAACCAGCCCTGGTCAAAAAGCCATGTGAAGAGCAGTTATATGTGGAACAGAAAAAGGAGAAAGTGGGAATGATCAATGCAAAGAGTAGTAGTGATAAATACACCACTTCTGCTGATAAATTTCTAAGGAGGACAAGCAAATAGAATGGGACAGGACAAAGGCTTTGGGGCGAGAGTCCCAACCATCCTGCAAGGGACCAGACAAATTCCTTGCATGAAGTCTGAGTGATTACACAGCTAGATGAAAGAAAGAAGTACAAGGCTGGAGAAGGGAATGGGAGAGCGTAAGAGGAAGGAAGTCAGTAGACTCAGCAGATGAAACTTTGATTGGACAAGCCAATAGAGTGTCATCAGAAGGATCCAAGGGAACTTGAGGGAAGAGATGAATAGGGGGTTAAGCACAAAACAAGAGACCATTTCTGACTGAATGCATTCACTGCCAGTGCTGATATAAGTAGAACAAAATACCCAAATAGGGGAAGCTTGGCAATGTCATAGATGAGAGGAGTGCTCAGACAAGAGCAAAGCCATCAAAAACACAAGGACTGAGGGACCACACTGGAAAATATAATATAGTAAGGGTTTCTAAGGAAGCCCAAGTCTGTAACAGATAGAAAACCTCTTGCACAACAAGAGAAGGAGAGGATAGGGCTGTAGAAACCAAATTCCTGATGGCTTACTAAAGCAACAGAGAAGGTTGTGCCCTGTTGATACAGGAAGTGAAGAACATACTCAAGTGAATCAGATATTGGTTGGGTGTGAGATGAGACTCCTCCAGCTTGACTAGCCAACCTAGATGAATAGCCTTCCGAAGAAGAAAGAAAGAAAGTATGGTCAGAGGAATCTTATTGGGATGGATCTAAAAGAAACCAGTTATCCATATAATGCTGGAATCTCAATTCCAATCTGTGAAAGTGAAGATCCAAGGCACACACTACACAATAAAATAAGCATATAGGCCAACACCACGCCAAAAAGAAGAGGTCAGATCTGATAAACTTGACTGTGATGTACAGACCAAAGTTAAGCTCTGGTTGTTGGGGAGATGAGAATGTGAATATAAACAACAAAGATGTTAACCTCAGTAATCCAAAGCCCCAGATAAAAAAAAAAACATCAGAGAATGAAAAAACTCATCGTGTAAACTGAGGAAGGCCAAGAAACTGAGACTGGACTGTATGATGACTTGATCCCAACCCTGATGTACTGGTGGACGACAAACAGATGGAAATAAAGTCCTGGAGAAGGGTGAGAAACTGTTTCGATAACATTCTTGGCCAAAAGGTCTGGCACTGTCCTGGAGAAATGTTGGTGGGAGACAGAATCCCCTGGAGGCTTTCCTGTTAATGCAGTCCATTGTTATTTGTCCTGCACTTCTTCCTTTCATGGTTCCCAATCCTGTCTTTTCCTACCATGGAATCTTTCATCCACTTGTGATCTTTCTCCTGTTACTGTTACTGAATGGGGCCATCAGCTTATCTATTTAGCATATTCTTTGTTGGATGGAGAAGCATATTGGCATTTCTGGGTTTCCTCCCATCAAATTTGTCACCTAACCCACTCTCTACCCACTTCCAATGTCTGTTGGAAAAGGTTATTTGGACTGGCATGTGGATAACCACTCACACCTTTGTTGAACATTATCTCCATTTGGCCATTTCTTCCTCATCAGGCTATGAACTGCCTCCAGTCACTATTCTTCACACAACACACCACCTGATTGGTTAAGTTTTTATTTTTTCTTACCCTCTTTTTACAGAACCCTCTAGTCCCTTACAGGGTTCTGCTCAATGGCTAGTGTTGCCTATCAGGGTATACTTAAAATCTGCACAGTGTGGGGTTGTCTCGGCCTGATATAGCACACATCCACGAGATGAGGTAATCCACAAGACCACTTGAGGTATCTCGTGGTGTTCATTTTCCTAAACAAGGCCCAATCCAGACTGTACCCACTTGTGTACTAACATGAGTAAAGCATACAGGGAATTCGGGCCCATCCTCCATGCCTAGATTAAAACCTAATGCTTTCCTTCTTGTAAATATAGAGTTTTCATGGTCATCAGTTACACTGTTTTATGGAGATGTGTTTGTCTGAACTTCCCTTTGAGCTTTCATTTACCTTTTTTTTTTTCTAGTGGAGCATGGGAGTCCTTGCCACTTACCAATTCATAAACACTGGGGTGTTAGATCATGGAGGATACCTTCTGAGTGTGACCAATTCCACTCACTAGAAAGTGTGGTGGTGGTGTTCTATCTGTGTAGTTCTTCCCCTTTGGCCAGCTTTCCCCCATCCTACTGCTAACTGGAAGTTGGGTTCCCAGATGCAGGACTAGCCAATATAAGTTCTCACTCAGTTGCAAAGTGGATGTTACTTTCCTGTTTTGACTAACTGGGCTTAAAGTAAATATGGTAGGGACCCTCCTCCTACTGCAACCCAGAAGCCAAATTCCTGGTGCTACCTGGTTTTGGACTAGAGTTGACCCACCATGTATGGTCTGATGTGCTCTAGCCACATTACAAATATAGCTTTTCCAAAAGCCTGATGCAGGTTTTGGATTGTTCTCGTATCTCCTGCCTGTCTTTGTGACACCTTCCTTTCAATGCAAAGAGTGTATCTGGTGCAGACAATGTGCAGTCTCCCATGAATGTGCCCTTATACTATTCCAAGATATAGGGTGTCATACTCCATGAGTTATGTATCATATTGGAAGTTAACATTTCCAAACTGAAAATGTATTTCAAATAGATACTCAACGCCTCTCATACTTCCCAACTTTTCTTCCCACGTCCACTGCATCTTACTTTCTTGCATGTTTGTGAAGTGATGATTGAACAATCAGTAAAGAGAGAACCAGCTGCACTAGGAGGCAGTGTCACACTCCTATTGTTGGAGGGTTGTTGCATGCTCATTTGTATGCAACAAGAATATAAAAATATAACATGAAACACATGAAGATAGGTGGGAGTCTCAAGGCTAGTAGCGAGTGAAAAAGTATTCATATAGAGGGCAACACTTAAAACTAGATGTGAGAAAGGTGAATATCTATTGGAAATAGATTTTTAATGTTGGAAGCCCCCTACTGACACAGTGGCCGGCGTGTGTCTGCAGACTTACAATGTTAGAAACCTGGTTTTGATACCCATGTTGTATGTTTTACTTAGTTTTACATGTCATGTACTAAGTCTTTCTTCTGTGGTTGAACAAGATTTACTGGGTGTTGACATTGTGTAGCTATGTGCTTAAACTGCAAACAAACAATGTTGGAAAACATTAACATATTACAGAAGCAGAATTTTGAAAATTTCTTCATGCACATACAAAGTAGTTCTGTAAAAATGTACATTTTTAAAATATAAATGCAAATTGATTTTCAAAGTTTTTTACTGACTGATGAAGGGGATAAAACTAGTTACACAATATTGAAGAAGTTTTCGTGTAATTCTGAAATAGGAATTATATTTTACTAGCAGAAATGCCATCCCATGGGCAGCTGTTTGTGCTAGTAATTACTAAT